TAGCTACATGAACATTAGCGGATTTTTAAATACTATAAAATTTTCAAATTTACGTTTTTAAAGAATATGAAATTTGTCGACTATCAAGACTTTCTAAAGCTTTCAAATTCAAGTAGATAAATAGGTAAAATCTTTAAAAGTCTTTCGATTTCTATTATACATTATATTAGTAAATTTTTAGTTTAATTGAATATTTTGATTTAAATTTGTACACTTGAAGAAGCACAAGAATTATATTTGTACTAAATGAATATAGTGTTGATATTCTAGAAGAAACACAACACGCCTTATATAAATGTTCTAAAAAGATTATCATTTGCTCCTAAAGAATATGCAATTATAATTTCAATATTTTAGAAGAATATTGATATATTGCTCCTAAAGAAGTAAAAACCATTCATATTAGTATTCTTTAAAAATACCGTATTGGGTCCCTGAATAAGCAGAAATTTATACATATTAGTATTTTATAAGAATATTATAGTTAATTTAAATGTATCATTATTCCTGAAAAATCTTGTTCTATTACTTGTGAATAATCAAAACTAGGTATATATTAATATTCTAAAAGATTTTATTTTTTTTTTGAATTATAGAAAAGTCAATATTGCATTATGTCGAATAATAAAATTTTACTATTGATAATAATTTATTTTCTACTAAATTAAAGATAAACTTGCTAAGTTTCTAATTTGTGATACAATTGAAATATACGCTATATTGAATCAAAAGTGAATTTGATTTTATTGTTTGACATGAACAATTAGACAATTAATGGATTAATAATGATGCGAAATTAAAAATTCAAATGAATATTCAACAAAGAACTAGAAGATTTTTCAATCCAATTAATTTCTATAAATTATTTTTCTCGTTATCGACAATTTATTATTAAACATCACTAGCAAAATAGGAACTGAATTCTCTATATTTCTGAAAATTAATTAAGGTGGTAAATGGGGCTCCATCATCCTCCATATTGAACATTTAAATATGATTTATATCTAATAAATTAGATACATATACTAGATGATTTTATGGTGTCTGCAACTTGAAGTTTGCGATATTATTGCTCAAATTATGAGCATAATTTTAAAATTATACAACCAAAATGATGTGTCTTATTAATGTCGATGATATTAAATCTCAACTTTTTAATAAGTGTTCGATGAGATGTTGATAAATGATTTAATTTTATTATTTGTTAAACGCCCTCAAATAATTTAATTGAGAAAAAGGTACTTCTGATTTCTATTTAGGGAAGGCTATTACGCATTATGCCAACATTATAATTCTCCATGTTATAATTGTCTTATGATTAGAGCCTAATATTTCATCTAATTATTTTTATAGTGCAGTAAGTGTAAAATTAATTGCCACAATGCACTGAGATAGAAAGTAAAAAATGCTGAGAATGAATAAGTAGTTTGAACCCTCATTCAATATCGCAAGCCCTAACGGGTGGTATTTTATAACACTGTTTGTTGATTTTTGATTTGACTAGATAAGTTTCTCAACATTAAGGGAGGAATAAAGAAGATGAAAAGAATTTACAAATGCATCATTATCTAAATTCTTAAAAGATAACTCGAACCGAAAGTTTGAAAAATAATATATTTAGATACATTTACTGTTTAAAGAGATCAATAATATCTCACACGCCAACATTAAATGCTCCAACTCGAATTAGCATTTTTATGGACAATTAGTTAATATTATATTTGATAAATTTATGGCACGCCCAAAATGTAATGTATTCAATTCTAATACAAAAATCTTCAATTGAAAATGGAACAATTAATAAAGATGAACCCATTAAAAGATGTATATATTCTTGATAAGTATTTAGGCATAACATATTATAAAATTTCGGAAGAGATTTAGATACCTGATATATTGAAAATTGAGATATCGTAATAAGTTATGTCATATGGAGAAAGAAATAGAATTGAAAAGAAAAAGTTGTATAATGTACTGTACTATATTATGAATAGCGAGGAAATGATATAAACTCATCAAAATATATTGCTCGAAGTAATAATTGGCCAAATAAAAATGACACAATCCTAAAATTGAACTTATTAGGAAAACTTAAAATTTCTGGATCTACCGTGTGATTATAATCAACTTATCTTATATAAATTTAATATTATTCTTGGAATATTTTATATGCCTGAAGTATAATTCAAGTGATATTATCATGAGAACAAGTAAAAGTGTGTTGTACTCTTTTTCCCTTGATCAATATTATATCCTATTGCATCTTCCTAACAAGATTTTTAATGAGACAACTTTTGTGACGTACTTAAAAGAACAATATATTCTTTTTCCCTCATTAGAATTTTTCCTAATAAAGGTTTTAACGTGGCATATTCTTTGTGTAACGAATGCTCAAGACATATAAGACATTTACGCTCAAAATAATATTCTTATATGTATGAAACTCCTAAAAAGATCAATAAAAGCTATTTTCGAATCATCATGTTACTATAGTCATTAAAGGTTGATAAATATTTGTTATGAAGATGGTATTATTTGAAGACATTGACGTACAATATATCAATATTGAAGGCATTAACATACAAGTTACGGATCGCTAGATACAATGATTGAAATCAATGGGAGTTGCCATACTCTTTTTTCTTTGATCAAATTTGTCCTATTAAGTTTTTTTCACAAGACTTTAACGAGGCGGCACTTTATTATTCCAAATTATTTGCACTATTTTTTCATTTGTTGACATTTTTGCCTAATCGAATTTTTGCTAAATGTTTCAATGAGATAGTTATTATGAAATAGTCATTCAATGGAGGGTGTTGCAAATATAAGAGTATTATGAATGACTTTTATACTCGTGCAATTCTAGTCATTATAATTGTTGTATCTCTTGTAGCACCAATTCTTTCCTATAAAAATATGGAACTTTGATTTTCAATAAAACACACAAATTTATTAGCTTCTCTCTATTTTCTCTTTGGCTTATAACAAAATCATGTTATACGTGTTACCTAATTAATTTTCATGAAAAATATATCTTCTAATCCAATCAAACCATGTAGAGTGTTTGATTATCATTTTTCCCAAAATACATTTTTCCTCTCTTCTTTATAACCATATATTTTTTTAATAAAATAATATCATAATCAAATTTAAAGCATTTTATTATTTTTTAAGCACACATTTTCTCTTAATCTACTATTCTAAAATATAATTTTAATTTAATGGGGTCAAACAAGTCCTAAAATAAATTATATTCCATAATATTTTCAAGTATGCAACCACTTGCATACTACCTACTCATGCAGCGATTATTCTCTCACTAATTTAATCCAAAAAATTATTTTTTAATCAAATAATTTTGTTGATTCTCAATTATTTAATCCAACAAATCAATTATATAAACAAAATTTTGTTGACAGATTTAGACACTGCTGGGTAGTTGTAGTTGACTTTTAGCCTGGGCCTGGGCCTGGGCCTGGGCCTGGGCTAGCAGCCTGTCTCTAGTGCTATACAGAACAAAATGGGTAGAAATCTTCTGTGAGTGCACCTATCATAATTCTTCCAGATTGAACATAGAGGACACTTTTACCCTCCCTTTGGAAATTGCAAAAGTTTCTTTAGCCTTCGTTTGACCTCTATTAAATTTTATTTCATGGCGTTTTATTTTTCTCTCTCTTATCTTCAATCATACAATTTTCGAACCAATCATTTTTCAAAAGAACACTATTCCACCAATATTCATTTCCATAAAAGGAGGCCAAATGGGGACTTAGCTTTGTTAAATTAGTTTACGGTGTAGCTTATTAAACAAGCCATTGATGTTGATGAGTTTGGTATGACAAAACTTTAGCACAAGAAAATTTCAAATGTTTATCATATTATGCCCTTGTTTGAGCTCCATTTTAAGAGAAAAATGAATTTTTGAATAGTGTGTTGATGGAATATGTAGTTAAAAAAAATTTGAATTTGCGTGTAATATTATTTTATTGAAAAATGTGTGGTTGAGATGATGTCAAAGCACTGTAGAAGAATTCTTTTTTTCCAAAGAATGAGAATTAAACAAGAGCTATAAAAAAATTTCAACCATTTATCGTATTTTAAAAATGAAAAGTAAAAGTCTTTATTTTGAATTCTCTTTTAAGTAGTTTCAATCTCCTTTTCTTCACTTGTGGGATGATTTTCTCTCTCTCTTATTTCCACAATGGAAAATTTGCAACGATTTTGATAACTACAATCTACTTAATATTGAAGATGACAAATATGTATTACGAATTGAGATGACATTCAAGCTTGTCTGATTTTGATTCTTTGAGAAATAATTCTTTGAAAAAAAAAATTAAATGTGAATAAAAATAGAAAAAATTATGAGAAAATGGTATATATATATATATATATATATATATATATATATATATAATGGTTGATTTTACAGTGTTAGGATTGATTTTATATAAATTTATAAAAGAAGGTAATATTATAAAAAAAAATGCGCATGATGTCCCTATTTGGTATATTTTAAAAGTCGATAAAAAAAATTAAGTAAAAATCCACAATTATTTTAAACATATTCTTTATGGAATCAACAATTTTTATCATCTTTTCAATCATATGTTCATTATTTTTATCAAAGTTTATTAAAATTGTGATTTTTAACGATACCAAATAAGGTTGTGGATATTATGCCTCTATTTGGACTCCATTTTAGAAAAACTCTTATTTCTATTTCTTATTTTCAATCACACTCTTCAATAAAATAATATTATATGTAAATAATTTTTATTTTTATTTTTTAATTACACTTTTTTAAAAAATTACTATTTCAAAATATATTTTCTCTAAAATTCAATTATAATGAAGTTCAAACAGGGGATATGACGAATTCTAGGTTTGTACATGCAGCAGAGTGCAGGAGTCTTAAGGAAATACTTGCTGCAGACTAACTCCCCTCCATAGAAGAGGAAAAATGGAATAACGGAAATACAACTACAGAAACACCGATTACCCTCAGCCAAACTGCCAACTGGCGGCCAAACCCCACTGGGCCCCTATCCCCGTCTTCTGCATAAAACTACAACTTCTCATTAATCGTAAGATCACGTGCCTACCCGAAACCATTGAGTGATTCCCAATAACAAGGAAGATATTGAGCAAGAAAACCCATTTCCATTTCATTCCGAAGTAAAAAACTTATGATTGTTAAAAGAGAAGATTTACGATGAAAGTTTGAAATTTTCATTGAGTTAACTCCAATATTTTTTATTCATTTTTTTTTTTGGTGGGTTTGGGAATATATTGGTATAATAGATAGTAATAGAGAGGGTCAATAATGGGTTGGAGTGGACCAAGAAGATTTACAGTGATATTTTGAAATTTTCGGATTGAGTGAAAATCCAATATTTTATTTTTCTCTGTGGGTTATGAAAAAATTGGTGTAATAGACAGTAATAAAGGGAGAAATTTATGGGTTGGAGTAATCCGTTCCGAGAGTTGGCGAATTCCAAGCCATTGTTCCTGACGATTTATGCAACTGTCATTATTGGGATTTTGGTCTCTTCCTTTTATGTATTCTCTGCGGTTTTCTCCAGCTCCGGTTCCTTCTCCTCTGTCACATTTTCAACGTCAACTGCCCCTGGTACGTGTATATGTATGTGCATATGGTTGTAAATCAGTATTTAGATCTTTTTTTAGCTCAATATACAAAATTTGAAGCACTTGGTACCTTTGTATATTCGTGCTGCTGATTTAATCCTTTCTCAGTTCTTGGGCAGTATTTTAAACCCATAGAAAATGCTTCTTTTATGCCTAGGGTATTAGCCACTGCCTGTATTCATTCAATAATTAAACCCGTGGCTGTCGCAGTGAACTCCTTTGCGATGGTTTCTATTTTCGATTTTAGATTTTTAGTAGTAGGATTGAGGTTGATGATTTGTTGAGTTTGTTGCTGCATTTGTACAGAGAGTAGAAAAGGGAAGGATAGCGAATTTCGGAATGAAATTTGGGAATGGCATCTGTAAAATTTTAAAATTTGGGATCATACTATCTTGTAGCCGTAGGTCAAATGACTTTTTTGAGCTTGGGGAATGAATGCTTCAGTTGAAATTGAAATTTGGGATCTCACCATCTTACAGCCGTAGGTCAAAACTTAAAGCTTCACTCTGATGCAATTTTTGTGATAATTTTTTATATTTTCTTGAAAATCGATCCTTTTCTTTTGTTTATAAAACTAAAATAGCAAGAGTCGACTTCATGATATTCCAGTTAGTTAAGTCTCTTCAATAGATAGCTAGTTCACTTCCCCTAGTTATATCTTTTTTATCAGTCAATTTTTTTAGGTTTATCTTTAAAATTGTTTACGTAATAGATAATACTAATCATTTCTGTATTATGAAAATTTCCATTTTTCACACATAGACTCGATCATTGTGGACTTGTCTAGCAATGAGCAATGAACATCTTGTGATTGTTAAATTTCTTTAAATTGCCTGCTTTGGAACGCTAGGATTTTCAAAAATGTTCACCTTTGATCTGGCACTATGAATACATATCTTGCACAATCAATCGCTGCATTCGCTAGTCATCTCTTATTTGTTTTTGGGTTAACCACAGTATATCTTATTCCGGATGCAGGTCCCATGCCCGTAAACCAACCATCTAATTTTTCTCATATAAAAGGAGCAGGTGCAGTGCCAGAATTAATCTCCCAGCCTCAAAGCAAATTGCTGAAACCTATTTGGGAGGTTCCCCCTCCTGGTTCTAAAATGCCCCCCCTGAAGAGCTTTAAACTAACAAAAGAACTAGTTCAGCAAAGAGTGAAGAATAATGTTGTAGTAGTGACCTTTGGTAACTTTGCTTTCATGGATTTCATCCTGACTTGGGTTAAACACTTGACAGATTTGGGTGTTGATAACCTTCTTGTTGGTAATTTTCTGAGAACTCTCATTGCATGGAAAAACATTTTTTCATGCTTAGTCAGGTTCCTAGGCTAACAAAAAATTCTATATTTATTCTTAGGTGCCATGGACACAAAACTGTTAGAGGCTCTTTATTGGAAAGGCGTTCCAGTTTTCGATATGGGTAGTCATATGAGTACAATAGATGTTGGTTGGGGCTCACCAACATTTCACAAAATGGGGAGAGAAAAGGTTATTTTGATAGATTCTATCTTGCCTTTCGGCTTTGAATTGCTGATGTGTGACACAGATATGGTCTGGCTGAAGGTAATATATCTATTAAACTTGTTATATCTCTCGTGAATGCTACCATTCCGATTTACCAAAGCCTAAATTCATTTTTTTAACTGTCAAACATTCTTCTAATGTTGGCAAGCTGTTTTTTCAATGAAAAGAAGTACTAAGTTAGATAGTCAAATAATAAACAAAGTAGAGAATCCAACACATAAACATTTAGTCCGCCAGTATCTCAATCTCTTTGAGGAGATTCAAGCCCTCTGCCGTTTAGATGTTTGAAGGAACTGGTGCAAAAAATCTCTTGATATGTACCCTGCAATGTATTACGGCCCAACATTAACATGGGTTCAATCTATACTGAAGGTTCAAGCTCAACGCTCTACTCTAAGAACACCTTCCTTCGGATGAGCATATCCAAAAATATATATACCGAACAAGATGTAGCGTACTCGTGCGCAGAAATGTGTAATAGGTACTTAGTATTTAAATGTTGTAGGAATAGGATTAATTTATAGGTAGTTTACACCCCTTAGAATTTATAGAGAAATAGTACTCCACCATCTCATGATCTCCATTATAATTTTTGACTATCTCCACTTGCATCCACATTAATGACCCATGATCTCCATTAACATTCACAAACATTTATCAGTTAATATGGTATAAATTATTTATCATTCATCATATATGAATGAACAATTGGTTTTAATATTAGAATATAACAGATTCAAACCCCAAAGGTTTTCTTTGGCTTTCTGCTTTGATTGTGCTGAAACCAAGCTGAATAAAGGACAAAAGACTAGTTCTTTTGACTGGTCTTATTTTCTTAATTTGGCAATTGGGTTTGCCTTTGCAATTGAGCCCATTCAACAAAATTGAAATATTGTTTGGAACCTCATTCCGGGTTGCATCGTATGGTGTGTAAGGAGAGAGAGAAACAGTCAATGTTTTGATGATCAAGCACGAACAATAGAACAGATTAGAGAATCGGTTTATTTGACATTGTATACTTGATTTAATGCTGCGGCTAAAAATCATATAGACGGGTTGCCCAATTTCACGTTGTTTCTTTCTTACTTAAATTGATAATACACTTTTTTTGTATTATCTCTTGATAATAAAATATTTGATTACCTATCAAAAAAGAAAAAAAGTATTTTTTTTCTTAATTTGGCTATTGAGAAAGGAAAGGAGGGAGCTAGCTATTTCATTTTGGTGAGTGTGTCTGTACATGTGCTTTATACATGATTGCTGAAATTCCAGTTATTAGTATGCTCAATTTGTTTTCTACTTTGTCATTTTTCTAAAGCTTTTCTAAATGGTAATCTGGTAAAAAACTTAGCCACTAGCTTTATAAATGGTCTTCGATATATACTGTACTTATACTCTCTTTGTCATCTTTCTAAAGCATTTTCTAAATGATCATCTGGTAAAAAACTTAGCCACTAGCTTTATAAATGTTCTTCGATAAATACTTTACTAATACTCTCTTTGTAATTGTCAAGGCATACTTCCATTTCGTTTGAACTTTTTATCCCCAATAAACATAGTATGTTGGCTCCTGCTTCCTTCCTCCCCGACCCTGGTTTCTTTCCACTAACAGAAATGTCCATTGAACAGGATCCCCTTCCATATCTTGCACGTTTCCCCGAAGCAGATGTGTTAACTTCTACTGATCAAGTCACACCTACAGTTGTTGATGACAGATTGGACGTCTGGCAACAAGGTAAAGCTTCTGTTGCTCGCCTCTGTTTTCTTTATAGGTTGCTGAATACAATGACCTTGCGGGTTGTTCAGTCCTTGTTATATTCTGTCTAGCAGCCTTCAAAGACAGGGTTGCATCTCTTTTTTCTCCTTTACAAGGCAAAGATGACAGATGCATAGAACTCAATCTGTACTCTTCATTTTTCTTTTTGATAGTGATCCATTTGCAGTGTGTTTACGGCTAATTTTTATACCTGTTCCAGACTTCTGTGTTTATGGAGAATCTGATTTTTTTGGACTCCCAGTAGGTGTAGCGATGGTCTAAACTCACCGAAAAGAAATCTATGTAGCCAACCTCAAGTTTAATGGGAATAAGGCTTAGTATGTAATTATTCTTGTTATTGTTGTGTTTTGAAATATATGGATTGGCTTGATGACTTGATCTGACCTGATAATTGAGGTGACCGTAGAAGGTATATTATTTTGAGAGATACAGGGTTAAAATAAGTTAAGAATTGTTTGTAATCCAGAGTATGTTTGGTAAAGCTTTTTCCAGCTTATAAGCTAATCAAACATCATTTTTATCCACAGATTTGTGTAGGACCACAGTTTTTATCCACAGATTGTGTAGGACCCACACATTTTGTAAGATGCAATTTTTATCCACAGATTTCGTAGGATGCATTGCTTTTAATCTACAAAAAGCTATACCAAACATACACTTGGAAGTAGATAAAGTGGATAATTTGATGCTATATGGTTTTTTTTTCTAACAAAAGTTAAAAGCTTCTGTTCACGGAAACTGGACATTGTTTTCAAGCAATGTGTCTTTGTTAGTTCTTCTACATTGAGCTTTATTTTTATCTGTGCAACCAATTTATGTTCCTTTTTCCTTCTTTTGGACAGCTGGTGCTGCCTACAACATAGGAATTTTTCACTGGAGGCCAACAGAGTCTTCAAAAAAATTGGCAAAAGAATGGAAAGAAATGCTTCTAGCAGATGAAACGATATGGGATCAAAATGGTTTCAATGAGATCATTCGCAAGCAGTTGGGGCCATCTGTTGATGAAGATAGTGGGCTAGTTTATGCTTATGATGGAAACCTCAAGCTGGGACTTCTGCCAGCGAGCATCTTTTGCAGTGGACATACCTACTTTGTCCAGGTTTTTGTTTTTGATTTCTGTATGACCTCAATTTCTTATCTACACTTGACTGCAAATAAAATAAGGGACGAAAAGAAGATTAAGAAAAATTCCCTATCATATTAATCCTCTCTAGTTTTATGATTCATATTCTAAATCTTAAATATTCAATAGGCTATGGCATTTAGAGATTTCCTCAACCGTTGTGCTATTTCTCAGGCTATATACGAACAACTCAAATTGGAGCCGTATGCTGTACATACTACTTTCCAATATGCTGGTACTGAGGGGAAGCGTCATCGGCTGCGTGAAGCTAAGGTTTTCTATGATCCACCGGAATATTATGATACTCCAGGTTTGTATCAATTTTCGTCTCTCTAGTTTACAGCTTTGTACAATAATCTTGGTGTCTAAAAGAAAGATGTCCATTATACCTTCCTCTGTGTTTCTTTTCACAGCTTATTTATCTAGTTTATTAACGATGTCAGATTTCTATGGAAAATTGTGGCTCATGTCATCATTTTTACACGTCTTATACCTCAACTTGAGAAGTTAGAGTCATCTGTCAAGGGAGGGGCGTTGAATAAAAATCAAAACACATTCGAAATAGAAAACTGGCCAGACTCTAAATTAAGCACTGTTCTGCCAGCTATATTCTTGCGAGATCTCATTGTTTTGGAGAAGATAGACCATGAAGGTCTAAACATAAGGAAATCAAAGTTTGTAATATTCTTGCAAGATCACATCTTTTCATATAACCATTAGAAAATTAATGACTCGATTTCTGTGCCCAATACATACTGTTCGTTCTGAGAGAGTCTGAGCCCATCTTATCCCTCATGAATTTCTATCGCATCCCCAAGATTCGAACCCAAGACCTTCATCTTATGAGAGACTTGTTACCAATTGGACAATTGGGTGAGAATTCGATAGAAATTCCTGAGAGATAAGATGGGCTTAAGCTTTCCTAGAGCGAACAGTACGTATGATATAACGTCTTGGGTACATAGGTAGGGTCATTACTAAAAAATGTACATTATTTTTAATAACCCTTGCCTTTATACCCAAGTTGTTAACTTACGTATTGTCCTATTTGGAAGGGCGGATGTCCTCTTATCCTTCAAAGCTTTCTATTGCATCTTCGAAGATTTGAACCAATAGCTCTTATGAGATATTTAAGTTGAATACCGGTACCAATTATAACAATCCGACTTCTTTGTTCAAGACTTTATATTATACGTACTATCTGCTCTGGAAGAGCCTAAGCCCATCTCATCTTCACTGATTTCTATCGTGTATCCAAGATTCGAACTCAAGACCTGTGTTTGAGACATGTAAGTTAAATCCTGGTACCAATTGGACTGTGTCGAAGACGTTATATCATACGTACCGTCTGCTCTGAATGAGCCTGAACCCATCCTATCCCTCATGGATTTCTATCGCATCCTTAGGATTTGAACTCAAAACATCTACTTTATGAGAGACTTAAGTAAAATCATGGTGGTAATTGGGCAAATTTAGAGATTGGGTCATTAAAAAATGCACTTATTTTAAGTCTATAGGAAGATAGATCCGAGCTCTGATACTAAACTGTAATGCCAAAATTCTAATAACCCGACAAATTAAAAAACATTAATTTTTATCCTACAAATAAATATTAAGTTTTGTAACAAGGACAGTAAACTTGTTTGAGACCTTATTCCAGGCTGCATTGTTTGGTGCGTGTGGAGAGAAAGAGACGGGCGATGTTTTGATGATAAGATAAAGACTTTAGAGCAGTTTAGAGAATTATTTTATTTGATATGGTATAATTGGTTTAATGCTGCAACTTCTAGTCACATAGATGGGCTGCCTAATTTCATGACGTTTATTTCTTGTTTAAGTGTATAATACACTTCCTGTGTATTACCTTTTAATTAATAAAACATTTGATTACTTATAAAAAAAATGATGGAATGTTCAAAAAAAATTGAACGACTTTATTAAAAAAAAGTTAATTTATTAAATCATTCGAATAGTTGAAGCAATACCGTTCATAAAAAATTTAATAAAACTAGTTCTGACATGTAATTAAAATTGGACTAATTAAAATTATAATGTTACTTCAAAATGTAATCAAATTCTCAACAATAAAAATGCACCTAAGAAAATTTGTTATTTCTAATAGATAAAGTACTTCATAACCAGGATTCGTTGGTCTAATGGTATATCCATCCATCGTCGTCCTACGTGCTAATTTTCGCTCAAAATTGTAAATGAAGAGGGGTGAGTACAACAAATTATACTAAATGAGATGCTTGTTGCTCCACATCCATCAAACATGAAATTATACACAAACACTCTTATCAATATAAACTGAGAGGTATCACACTATGAAAAATGATAATTCAAGCCAGCGTTGTTAAATAGCATGAAGGCTAATTTGACACCTGAAGGTACACCTTAAACTATATCATGATTTCTCCAAAGGAAAGGCAGGGAGGCTACTCCCCGAAAATGCCTCGCCCATAGGTTCCTTTGTCGTTGGGGCATGATCTAGCCTTCAAAGAATTCCGATGATGTTTGCCAAACACACAACTTTCACAAATTCGATTGTTTGAACGTGATTTACCGATAAAGGAGGCTGCGGGCAGGGCATGGGATATTGAATGGAAAAAAACCTTGAATTGAGAGTAATTAAATTCATATATAATAACATAATTGAAAAGATGTGGAAAATCAATAATAGCACTGAGCGCCTCACCAAAATCTTAAAATATAGCTGCTTGAAGATTCGTGAAACTTCTTTAATGACCTAAACCTTTGAAAATTTAAGTAGTTTTTATTTTGCAAACAGTGTTTTTGTGTGAGAAATAAGATTCAGGCGCTGAGGGATCAGATAGTGAGTTCGTTCTCCTATTTATCGTAGTTGACTTGCAAAGGGGACAAAGTGAGGCAAAGAAGCACACAGCAAGGTCCAGTCTTTCTTCGCCTTCCACCTAAGTTGCATAGGAAAGGCCCAAACCCAATCCCAAGGAACACTGAAGCTTCATAGGGTCTTTCCCAGAGAGAAAAAAAAATGGATGGGAAGTAAAAAATTGGGGTAATTGATTACTCAATCTCTAGCTGCTTGTATAATGACATTGACGTGCGAGAGAAGAAAACGTGTCCTGTGTGTTTGCATTGAAGAATTCTAATTGAAATTGACTGTTGATATTGGTGATAAGTTTAACTAATTAGGATAATATAATATTAATTCCATTTCTACAGGAATATAAAATGCAGGTTTAAACTAATCAAATGTTTAATTTGACTTTTTTATTGAATTTTTTCTTAAATCAGCCTTTATTTGGTCATGGCTTGACCAAAACAACTTTTTATTGAGCCTAATGTACATTATTAAATACGAGCTACCCAACGAGTCCAATATTGCTCTAGTAATTTGATCTATATTGATAACTAATACTATTAACTAAGTAGTTTTCTTAATTGACCCTAACTCGAGTTTAGCTTATTCAAATTAACTTTTTCTTGAGTCCACCATTTGCAAGTTATTACGAGCTTCAAAATGAGCCTAACATTATTATGGCAATTCTAACTCCTTCAATAGTTAACTATTTGGCCCAACTAAATAAAAGTAAGAAATTTAATATTTATTTCCCCTTTGGTGCCTCCAACTATTAAGGATATTCATATAATCCAATTTAACTATTGAGCAAAATAAATGGACTCACATAATGACTAGACTAGACATGGTAATTCTATCAATTGGTAAATAAATTGTATGTGATAAAACTTGTGAAATTTCTGGGCTCTACAAAATCTAAGTCTTACTTTCATACTTGATACAAGGGTGCTTTTTCTCACCGCAACTTTTTTAAGTTTAATGTTGCCTAGCTGATTCTCAGGTAAATGAGCATTACTAGGTATTTATCCACCAAGGACTTTATAGGACTTTATAAATGGGTTAACTGTCTCTTATTAGATCATTGTTACATATTAATGAATTTGCTTAACTATTAGGAAAATTCTTGTCGATTGCAATAGAACCTCGGTTGATAGGTACTTGTGAGCTTTTCTCTAGAAAATAAAGGACAAAGGTCCCTTTTCCAACGGTTAAGAATCCTGAGAAGAAACCAAGCCTCATCTTACTTAGGGTTTGTTTGAGCCCACTTTTTGGGAGAAAAAAATTTGTAGTAGTGATTTTTTTTGGAGAATGTGGTTAAAAAATGGGGAAAGAATTTGGATTTACATGTAAAATTATTTTATTAGGAGAATGTATGGTTGATATCTGTTATAATATTTTATCTAATTAATTCTGGTATTGTCAATCTTAACATCCCCTTTTCTGCTACATTAATCTAATGGAAGCATGTCTAATAACCATTTCATATAACTTACCTTTTAACCTTAGAGGTATTTTCCTATCAAAGAGAATTTTTGTAGTTTTTCTCCAATTTATCCAGCATGGCCATCCTCTCTCTGTCCTACTTTATTAATGTTCCAACATAAATATCTAAACTAACCACTTTTGGGACAATGTGATCCTAAATAGTGATTCCACTAATATCTTTATTCTCATTATTAGTAAAGATGACACTTGTTAGACCACCGATTATAGTAACATATGAGAGGAGAAAGAAAAAAGGGAAGCACAGTCAGGAAGACATGTTATGGAGGCAACAGGGGATCAAAACTAATTTTCAATTTGTTATTAGTTTGTTAGTTAGCAAGGGCATTATTGGGAATTGAGAGAGTGAGGAAGTGTCAATAAATGTGAGAGTTGGGGGGTTGGAGGATACGGTTCTTGTGGAGAGAGACCAGGCCTCTCGAAAGCCTTGGATTTCTTCCCCATTTCTGTATTGCTTTCAAGGAGTATTAATTTAGTTCATTGTTAATCCTTTTCTCTTCATTGCACCGGGTTCTATCAATTTGGTATCAGAGCAGGGATTCTGGAAGGATGACGCTCACTGATCGGGTTAACGAATTGGAATCAAGAATTGGAGGAATGTAGCTAGAGATCCAGGATGACATGAGCACTATGAGGAAGGAATTCCAAAGCGACATGGCAAAGGTGATTGAGAAGTTGGAATTGATGGCCAGGAAAATGAATGAGGAGGAGCAGGAGAGAAAGGAGCAAGGGCTAGCAGTGACTCCAACTGAAGTTACTCACAATTCTGAATTTCCGACCAAATCGGAGGAAATAGGAGCAAGTTTAGATGGTCGGAGCCGTAGAGAGGAATGGTGGAAGTCAAAGACACGTGGGCGACGATTGGAAATGCCGATTTTCAATGGGGAGAACCTCGATGGATGGATCTTTTGAGCTGAGACGTACTTTACTATAAACCAGATATCTGACTCGAAGAAACTCGAGGC